AAGATGAGAATGTATAGTAAATATTCAATTTTTTTTTTTTTTTTTTTTAAATTTAACAAACTAATTAAAATTTCCTATAGTTTGCTTTATTTGGTGGCCTCTCAAAGAAGAAGAATTCAAGGATTAGAAAAGGAGTTAGAGGAATATAGATTGAATGTGGTATTAAGAATGCAGAATGGATGGATGTTAGAGCAAAGGTATATGAGGTTGTTAGAGAAAAGAAATAGGTTGAGAGCCAGGTTGGAGAATTGTGAAGAAGAGTTGAGAAGATTATAAGAAGAAAGAAGAAGAAATGAAGATAGTAGTAGTAGAGATAGGTTATCAGATGTTGGATTTTAGATTAACTATTTTTAATTTTTCTAAGTTTTCTAATATTTGGTCTAGTATGTTTTTAATATCTAATATTTACTCTTGTAATTTCTTTATGCTTTTAGTTTCTTTTCTTGGTTTTTCTTCTTTTAAGCCATAGCAATAAAATTCTTTTTGTCTTTTCTTTTGTTTTGATGCTTCTGTTCTTTCACTTATCTTATCTATCTTTTAACTCTATATTGTATTTATTTTTGTTTATAAACTTCTTTATAATTACATCAAGACTTCATTATACTAGTCTTTCTTTTTGGTTATTATATTCATGTTTGCTTGGTTTCTAAATAATACTACTGTATAGTTTCTTAATCTTCTTTATCTGTTTGATAAAATGTATACTGTTAGTGCTTTTTTAATTTTAAGTTCTTATAGTAAATAATGCTTATTTTGCTAATAATCATTTCAATAACACTCTATTTTACTAACAGTTAATTTATTAACAAGTTTATTTTACTAATAATTATTAACTAATAGTTATTTATCAACAAAGTAATTCTAATCATTTTTGTTAGAATTAGTTAGAATTAGAGCTAGTGTTAATACAACTTTAAAAAAAACCTAGTCAATGAAATGAGCTGTTAATAAAATAATTATTAGTAAAATAAACTTGTTAGTAAATTGATTGTTGATGAAATGAGATATTGACAAATTAATTGTTGATAAAATAACATATACTCTTCATAGTAGAATTAGTTCAGAGGTTTCTTTTGGTATTCTTTTTAGTTTTACATTAAATTAATTTTTTTTTCTTTTTCTTTTTCACTTTTTATCATTCTTATTAATTTTTTATTTCTTAAAAGAATTATCTATAAAAATACTTGTTTCTTTTCTTTCTTTATCTTTATTATTGCTATTGTTTTGTATATGTTTCTTTTAATTTTGCATATTGTTAATTTACTTATCTTTTTTATCAAATATTTAATTTTATATTCTAAAATCTTTTTTGGCAAATCTTATACTATTAGTGTTACTATATTTTTGCTTTCTTTGTCTGTGTTTGCTTCTTCTTAATTATAGATTTTGTCTTTTATTTTTCTTTATACACTTTTTTTTTTGTTCTTTTGATCTGATTTCTCTTCTTTTTTGTCTTTGTCTTCTTTTAATTTTTCTGTATCTGAAATTATTTTAAACTGGTTGTTATGTTTTTTCTAGATCTTGCTAATTGTCTCTTTTTTATTATATTTACAGTCAAATATAACTATAATTTAAGCATTATCTCTTTTAAACAACTCTTTAATATCTTTAATATATTTGTTAAATATTAGTAATCTGTTAACAAACATTGTTCTTTCTTCTTGTGAGCTACTTGGTACATTAAATGCTAGTATTTTTGCTATATACATTTTTTATTATTACAATATCTGTTCATAAGTAATTACATGCTTTGTTCTAGTAATGTTTCTGTAGAGTTACTTTTGTCTTTTCATCATTCTGCTTTATAAGTTTATTCTTTTCTATTTCTTTTGTTTTTTTCTTATTTTTAATTACTATAATTATATCTTTATAATCTTGTTGTGTTATATTTGTTTTTAATGCTCTAATTTCTTCTTCTATATAGTTGTTTGATATTGTTGTTTGAGTTACTATACTTATTATTTTTGTAACTAAAACTTTATTATCTTTTTTTTTTTTTGTTTTTTCTTTTCTTTTAAACTTGTATTCTGTTATAGCTCTTTTTTATTCTTTACTATATCTATTATTTTGGTCTTTTATCTTATTTTTTTATATATATTTCTAATATGATGAATTTTTTTTGAGATTATTTAATATTTTTTGTTTCCTATACTTTGTATTGCTAATAGATATTAACTTATATAATTTATTTCTTTTGTCTTTTTTTTACACTTGATGAATCTTTTATATCTACTTTAATTATTAGTTTATATACTTTTTTTAGTATTATTATTTCTGTTAAATTTGTCTTTTATAGTATATCTATTACTATATCTTTTACATTAAAGTAATTGCCTTTATTTATTAATTCTTGATCTAATTCTTTACTGTTTATAAGTTTCAACTCTGTTTCTGGCTTTTTACTTATTAATTTAAAAATTATTAACTTTTTTATCTTTATTTGTGTTATAATTTGACTATATTCTGTATTATTTTTTTAATTTATTTATAATCATATACACTCTATAATACTTATATACTTATTTTATTTATATTTGTATATACTTATTTATTTGTTTCTTCATATGCTTATTTGTTCTAAACAGATCTATGATTCTAGATCTATATTGTTTTTTCAAAATTTTATTTTTTAATCTTTATTTATTGAACTTATTGTTTTTTATTTGCTATTTAGTTTTTTTTCTTCTATTAGTACACTTGTTAAATCTATTTCAAAAATTTTTTCTGTTTTGTTAAATCTTTAAATATTGTTTTGATACTAATTTTTCTGTAAACTTTAGTTTTGTTTCTATTAATTTTTGTGTTTTGATGATCATTAAAAAGAGTTTTAGTATTTAATATTGATTAAATTAATCAAATTAGTTAAATAATATATAAAATATATAAATATATAAATATATTTGTTAATTTATTTGTATATTAAAATTATTTATTTAATAAACTAGACTATTTGACCAATTTGATCAAACTATTTAATTAATTTGACCAGACCAGTTTGACCAACAAATTTTTGATTGATCAGTAATTTGACCAACTCTGATTATAATATATTATTGTCTACAAAGATCTATTCAAGTAGTTGTTCTTATGTTATGATTTACAAAATATGATTTATTTTCCAATATAGTTTTTTATTCTTAAATATAAAAAATCAAATATGTGTTAAATAGAAAGAAGAAAAACAATAAATTGAATTGTATACAATAGTGTTGTAGACAAAATACAAAAAAAAAATTATAACAATAATTAATAATTAAATACATTGTTATAATTTTCTTTTTTGAATTTTATCTACAATACTTATGTACAATAATATCTACTACACTAATAATATAATCAACAAGACCTATTGATCATAACTAATGATAATATAACAAGACTGAGCTACTAGCATCAACAATGATCTAATTATCAGTACCAATGAAGGTTATCAGGAGCACCAACAACAATCTAATAAACAACTCCAATAACAACTATAAATGGGTCTGTATTATTGCACCAACAATTATTTCACCAACAGCTTATTTAACTAACATCACACCAGGCTACAATTTACTAAAAATATATACTAGTAAATAATAAAATGCTAATTCTAACCCTATGTGATGTCAGTCAAATAAGCTGTCAGTGAAATGATTGTCAGTGAAGTAAATAGCACTGACTATAAACAACTCCAATGACAACTAAATAGCAACTTTATAAAAAAACAAAATACAGCACCTGCTAACAACCTAATTACTCACAAACAATAATCTAATTAACAACTCAACAGTAATTGGATCTGGTATTGTAAAAAGATTTTTTTATATATTGTACATCAAATAAAGAATCAGTTATGCAAAATCAATAATTCTTCTTGTTTCAAATAATATAATAATTGTCAGTGAAATGATTTTGTAAATAAAAAGAATTGTTAACAAATTAATAATCAGAAAAATGACTATTTCAGTCAGTAAATTAATATGTTAGAAAAATAATTGTTAGTAAAATAACCCCAATTTGGCTTGTGATTTGAATTGCAAAATTATTTGAAATTTACAAATAATTTACTTTGTAGAATAATGGTTTAAGATTTAAAAATGTATTTGATAATATAAATTTGAGAAATGTTCTTATTGAATATTTTTATATATAAAGTTATTATTCATGATTACTCATTAACTTCATATCAATTGACTTAATTAATATGAAAATGTCTTGTAACAATTTATAATACATCATTAAAACTGATATTAAATTAATTATTAATATAAACAATAATAAATTTTTTTGAATGATAATTCAACAATGAACATTCTTCATAGTCTATATAATGGTAGGTATTTTCTGTCAACAATAAATAATTCTAAAAAAATTCCTAAAAATAAAATAGAATTTAGAGACAATTTTATTTAAATAAAAAAAATCAACTATTAATAATAATTATCTAAGACTTGAAGAAGTAAAATGCTTAAATTTGAAATTCTAAATAAAGTTTTTTATGCTTAAAAACATAATACCTATAACTATTATCTTATGAATCTTTTGCAAATTTTTCTAATTTTATCTTATCCCATTTCTTATGAACATTCACTTGCACAGTATTCACAAAAGGACTATTTAAAATTTTTCTATATAAGTTTCCAATTATATCTTCTATTAGAATAAGTTCCAAATATGTCTGGTTTTTTGATTGGTCCATCATCTGAATTATTTCTTTCTTGTGTTGCTTTACTCATAACATTATTTCTAATTTTAAATGAAGAATTATATTGATAAGTTTTATTTTTATTTGTAAAAATAATATTAACATTAAATTACCATGAAATTATTAAATCTGACAAATCAAACCCAATAAATTGACAAATTGATCAACTATATCATACTTTCATTAATAAGAGAACTTTTTGTTTTATAATTTAATGCCTCCCAAAGTAACATGCTTTGTATAAAGATAATTTAGGTTATTATTTCAAATTGCATAAATACAGTATAAAAATATTATTGAGTTTACATCTTATCTAATAGCGATTTACAATTATTGAAATTTCTGTATTTTGTGATATAATATAATCTTCAATAAAGTCTTTAAGAAGAGGTGGCAATTCTTGTATTTGAATTTTTTCATTTAATTCATTCCAAATTCCATTAGAATGATATGTATTTTTGAGATTTTTATGATTATTCTCTATCCAAGATTCCTAAAAGAAGCAAATTATTTGTTTTAAATTAGATATCATATATTATTTAACTAAATATTTTAATGATATCACTTGCATCCTCATAAAATTGCAGCTGAAAATAAAAATAAATTAATAGTCATTTTGATACAATTAAGACAAAACAAAAAATCGGATTTCAAATTCTAATTTAACCATACACATACATTATAGAGATATGCTTTTGCCTTCGTAAGTGAAAGATCTGGGCATATTTCGCTCAATAGATCTAGCCATCCTCTAGTTCTGGCATGGCTTTCTAAATACAACCCATATTTCACATATTGATTGCTCTTTTTAACTTCTTTTATTAATTGAACAAATTCATCAAGTCGCTTTGATTTTTTATTCTAGTTAAAAAAATATTATCAATATATTTGTAGTATGAAGATTATCATACAGTAGATTATTTAATTTGGCAAATCAAATAGCCACATAATAATCTAAATCTTATTAATGCTAACATTAAACACCAAGAAATAGAGCTGTCATCGTAAATATTAATAGTATTATTACATTATCCAAGTCTATTAAAATACATCGTAGGTGTTAAACACATACTTGCATCAAAAACGGCCAAATAATCTGTATTTTATCTAATTAAAAATACCCGGCTCCTCCCGAAAATAAATAACATGAACATATATATGATGTCGAGCACCATAGATTCATTTGATAATTTCTGTAATTAACAATATATCCGATATATAATCTGCACAATAAATTAAAAATGAGACTTCACCTTTAAGTAAAGATGAACCACCAGTAAAAGCAATATTCTCCCATAATGTGTTCGCAATAAGATATTGCCCGATAAATAGCCTCATGCAAAGAAAGAACCCCTTCCCTATTTATTAGAAGAGGGTTGAAAATAGGTTCGACAACTTGGAAACGTTCAAGACCAATTGTAAACTGTTTTGATCGATTATAAGCATATGATAAGCATAATATACTGTATGCAGAGATTGTAACTCGTCAAGAGAATTTTTATCCAGGTAATTATTATAGCCATCTAATAAAAATGTCTACCCGGGTACAATCTCTAAATATCAGTAATTGTAGTAAGATCTGACCTTCCTTCCATTATATTCAGTTTCTATTCTATCTGGTCTATCCTCTATGGAATCAACATCTGAAATAACCTCACAAATATCAGATTCCTTGAGTGTTCTTGCGAGTTCAGTATCTGGTGTTTCACCATATTCCATTAAAAAATTGGGTCAGATAGCAGCATTGAAGAAAATATTCATCAAAATCTTGATCAGCAATTGGTATCGTCAGAGCTGCGTGATGTTAGACGGAGCAATCAATTATTGGAGTGATTTCTAATTAAAATTTATTAGAATTAATTATGATTTGATAGTTATAAACATTATAAAAGTAGGTGCATTTATTTTAAATAAAATTTTGCTACCGTACAGAGTCATCAAACAGTATAAAGTCCAGGTGCATTAAAAGTTTCGAAAAAATATGTGCTATTTGTTCAAAATGTTCTTTTGTCCAACTGTTAGGGACTGTAATAAGCACTGGACGTTCGTTGCGAGCTCTTTTGATGTTTAATTCCTTCAAAATAACGTGACGCCTATCAATGATGACCATAAAATTCTTGGGTAAACAAATTAATCAGAACATTAAAGATTTTGTAAAGTGGGTACCATATGGCTTCTAACTCTTCCCAGATAACAATCACACCACGTTGTATCGGAAATTTTGTTACGATATTGTTGCTTTCTTTGAGTTCCTTTAACTAGGATCCGCATATATAAGCTGGTTCCTTTGTCGAAGTTGTATCCTCAGGTGAATTCGGACCAGAATTATCGGAAATTGAAGATGCCTCTTGTTGACCCAAATTTTCAAAATTTTTGATTCTCCAAGTCATTCTCACTCTTCTTGGCAACTTCCAATTAATTAATGCATGTAACGATATAAATAATTTATTACCACTGATGGGTTCTGGTTAGTATCGCTAACACCAATTCCGCTTTTATTCTCCGCGATCCATTCTCGATAATCACATGTTACTAGTTGCCGGGTTGGATTCATAGAACATTCATTCGATTGGTTAATTTGCGTCGATCAATAACTTGGTGGTAACTACACACGCAAAAAATAAAAACAATCGAATAAACGAAAGATTTAAAGCAATAAACCCTTTTATTTATTAGCTTCATAGGCAAGATTCACGTCACACCTGATCTTGCAATTTGATTGGCTGCGCAGAATTTTTCGGGTTTCGTAGTTAAATGAATTAGGGTTAGGGTAAAGGTATCCATATGATAAAATCAATGATTTATTGAATAATTATAAGTCGTTATGACTTATAAAATTTGTTATTACATTATAACAAACCACTTTCTGCGTCTTAGCAAAAAAATTTCCTTGCAAAATTTTGCTATATGCAATATCCTTTCTAATATCATCTTAATGTTCACCCTTACCCTAACGGCAAAAGTTTATTTCTTAATCAAAATTTTAGCGTATATCATCACGTGTCAGTGGACATTACTATGTATTAGATTAGATCATCCAATCAAATTTTGAATATTTAACATACTTTTCGACGGTTTATTTTCAACTTTCGATACAATAGAAAAATGGTTACATCCTTTGCTAGAGGCTTCGTCTTTCGTCAGAAAGCTTTTAACTTTCACCAAGATTTTGTTATTCGTCATTCACCAGTGTTAGGCTTAATCTTTCGTCAACAAGCAAAAAAGCTTTCGTTTAATGACCATGAACCGAAGAAATATGAACCGAAAGATGAAGGTTTTTTACCAAAAAAACTTAAAAAGAAGAAAAAAGTACCACCACCACCACCACCAATTCTTAACATACCTGGATTTGTTCGTATAAGTGGTGCAAGGCATAATATGGTTGTTTATTTTGAAGAGCTGCGTCGTGACAATTCAAGGAGAAAGAGACAAGGTTCCTTAATAGTACATGGTGTAAAGTATATTAAAGATCTGATAGCAAAAGGACATCACATAAAGAGTATTGGAATTACAGCACCAGAAGATTTAAAATCTGTTGATGATATTGCTGGTTCGTCTGGAGAGGTTTTTAAAAACATTGATCAATTCCCAGCAGATCGTTATTATGTAACGAGTGTCGAATGGACACGTAAAATACTCGGCGGGGAAGCACGAGTTAATAATAGAGAAATATGGGCTGAAATTCCATTTCCGAATATTTCATTCCCACAAAATATTTCAAAGTTATTGGTATTAGATCACATAATTGATGCTGTAAATGCGGGAATGCTAATTCGTGCTGCTAATGCTTTGCGTTGGGATGCCAGTTTTTTTATAGCTGGCACCATTGATCTTTTTGATGAACAAGTAATTCGAACATCTCGCTGTACATCTGTAACGTGGCCGTCAAAAACTGGATTTTGGCATCATTTGCATGCACTGACAAAGGAACATGATTTAACATTGGTCATAGCAGACACTATGCCACATAATAAATCGATCCAAAGTCAGAATAATATTTGTTTTTGGAATCCTACTACACAAGAAATTTATAATGAGATACCATCTTCGCGTATTGCACTTGTGTTAGGCAGTAAGATGCATGGTGTTACTTATCGAGATGCAAGTGAAGATATTATTCGCGTATCGATTCCTATGTTAAATAATGTAAATTCATTGAATGTCGCGATGGCTGGAAATATACTTATGCACGAAATAAATCGTCTAATGAATATTGATAATAAAATAAAACATAATAATTAAATATTATATTTCTATTATGTGGTACAAGTATTACATATAATAAAATTTAATTGCAATTTTTCGGTCCAACCATTGTTAATAATTGTTGTGCATGAGTCATAACAGTAACTAGTCATTTAATCAAGCGTAATTAATTTTTTAACTTTTTTTTCAAAACCCTCTCTAGCGAGACGCCATATGGCATATGTATTTTTTCACTCTATTTGACTTTTCGCATTTTTTGTAGAGTTAAAAAATTATTCATTTGCGACGTAATGATTTTTTTTTGCCTTTTTTTTTATTGATCATCCCATGTACGTAGAAATTTTATTGGTTAATCGAAAATTCAAACTTAACTAAATCTTCACGATTCACGAATAAAGAAAATTAATATTATAAAGTAATTATATTTGTGACTAAATTAATGCTGGCAAAAGTTTTAATCACAAAACCTCGATAACCTTAACTCAAGACTATAATCTTTAAATATATTATAGAACGCTAATCATAAATGATCGGACTTGATCTTTAATTTAATAATCATTATATAGTTACTAGAGACTGGACTCAACTCGTAGCTTAAAAAACATAGTTTTGGCTTGAGTCAATTAAGCTACGAGTCGATTTGGGTCCGGTCTCTAATAGTTACAATACCAATACTTCATTTTAATTCTTATAGCCTATAACTTTACATTATTAGCCAAGTGTTTCAAGCCGATTTAATTTTTACGGCTAGACCAAACCATTAAATTTTTACAACTGTTTTCATAAATTCTCAAAAATTGACCGACTGAATATTTGCCGATTCGTTCAAATCAAAAGTTTTATAATTGCCGAATCAATTTTTACCAGATTTTCCAGAATTTATGAAAACAGCTGTAATAGCTTAGTGGCTTAGCTGATAGGTATAATGCCAACCCGAAAATATGGGTCAAAAAAATTCTCTATAAACTTTACACTAAAAATTGCATCTTACAACATGCTAGAGATCAGAAACTAGTTACCAGGTATGGTGACATTAAAACGTAGTGCTCAGCTACCCAGGTACTATTTTAATGGTACCGTGCCTGGTACTGGCAAAATCCTCGTTGTACTGTATGTAGACCAAAATTTTAAAATCAGAACTGTTTCTTAATGTAAGGGTACCCAATATAGATGAATAGTTAGCTGACTAAACAGTTAAACAGCTATGATGAAGACCCAATCGAGGGGTTTGACGATTTCGAACATGCTACAGAAGCGAACAACTGGACAGATGAAAGAAAACTCAAAATAGTTTCTGGATTGTGGAGTGACCGAGTCGCAGTTTTCCGAGCACAACATTTTGGTGGTAACTGTGAGATCTGAAAAAATAAAACGATGTTCGCTACCCTTCCTCCCCTCCCCGATTCAAGAAAAATTGAATTAACAAGAAGGTGGCTTAATTGATTAAGAAACCTACCTAAATTAGATAAAAGCCCAGTACTAGAGACATCCTGGAAAGAATTATTACACAGTCTAGCCCTACTATTATGAATGCCACCTAGCTTAGAGAGTTGATAGAATGTATGATCAAGTCCTTCGAGACGCAGTCAAGGATAACGTTAAAGGAAATGGGTCCGGGTCCAAAGAAACAAACCATGTAAAGGTTAGGAGTTTCAGTGGAAGTGACGATGAAGACCCAATCGAGTGGTTTGACGATTTCGAACCATTACAAAAGCGAACAACTGGACAGACGAAAGAAAGATCAAAATAGCTTCTGGATTGTGGAGCGACTGAGTCACAGTTTTCCGAGCACGACATTTTTGGTTGAGTTGATCGGCTTATAACACTACATAGTATGTAGTAGATCAATGTGCGAATATACTAAAAATAGTAAACTCATGAGATGTTTATACTTCAGTCTAGGAATATACCAAATTAGGATTATGCAGATTGCTCCTTATATAGCATTAAATTGTCGATCAGATTATTCTAGACTTTTCTTTAAAATTGTTCTAAATGTTATAATAAATTTTTTTTTAAAAAAAAAAAAATATTACAAACATAAAATTTTTAAAAGTGACCAGACAAACCGGCTTTTAATTTTATTTTCAAAAAATTATTTATATAAAAAGCATTTAGACTTTCTTAAAAAACTTACTCAGATAGTAAATATGCATAAAATGTTTTTTAAAGTCTAATAAAATTTAACTCGGGCAGGTTTTTATTAAATTTGTATGGCCTAATGAATTCTAATTTTCGAAATAACGCCCACGAGCGTTATTTCATGCTTATATGGTATCCCATAAAACCCTCAAAAAAAAAAAAATTTGGTAAAATGCTGATTAATAGTCCCCTATAAGTTGTACTGGATGCATCAGTTGGTACACTTTTCGGACACCATAAACACAATAGTTACCAGTTAAATTAATATCGAATTATTTAATTCAATTTAAATAGTTACCACTTCAAATAAAATAAAACTCAACTTTAACTTTTAAAATGTCGCAACCAACGAATAGTGGCATTTTATTAATGTTATTAATATAGTTCATCTCAATTCAAGGCACCCATTAAATAAAATATAAATAAAAAAAAAAGGAACAAATTTGTTACAAAAAAAAGGAACCAATATGGTACACATTATACATGTTATCCAATCCTTTGAAACACCAATTTCATTATGATAACAATAATCAACATTAAATGTTCCACTAGTATGTCTCAGCCAACTTAAATGAATATCTTAGTTTCTTAGCGTGGATAGGCCAGGGATGTACTTCAAAACTGCCATTTTTTTACAGGTACTGAATTTGTGCGGCCAAGAATAAAGACAAATGGATTGACAGATAAGTTATTTAAAATTTAAATTTTACATTTTAATATATAACAACAGCTAAGATAAATATTTCATTAGCATTACTTATGCTATGTCTCATTTTTATTTTTAGCAATTCCAATTCCATTTTTATAGCAATGATCAAGATCGAATTTTTCACTAGAATGGTCCATCTCTGCGAATTTTTGATAATATATGAATCCTTATATTCATCCTTTCTGACTTCGACATCACCTTTAGAAATAAATTATAATTAAGAACTACATCGTCATTCGAAAACATAACATAAAATAAAAGCAATAATAATGACCATCCATTACTCTTCTAATTCTACCAATGTCAGCTTTCTGCCCTTGAAGATGCCTTGTG